GTAGTTGGCAACACTAAATACTAGAAAAATTAGAATTTGGATAGTCACTTATTCTACCACATTTTCACAAAATGTATATTGAAAGACAGCTATATGCTAGGCAATGTGCCAGGAAGTAAGGACATAATATTTCTATATTAAAGGAGCTCATAATCTAAATATTACCACATATGAAGAATATTTTCTCTAGTAATGGAAGCAAGAACAATGTAATTTCACATGGATTGCAGTGGGTAGAAGTTATTGGAGGCATCAATGTGAATGTAAGAGTTGAGTTTGGCCTCATAGAAGCAGGAGTTTTTCAAATGGAGATAATGTTTGTACAGTGAATTCCAGGAAGGGAAAGATTATATGCAGAGATTGGAGGCATAGAAAACTATAAAGTGTTTAGGAAAGGTAAGTAACAGCTGGAGTATGGAGTGTCGGTAGAAGAGTAAAGAAAAAAATATTTACCAGCGTTTTATGGCAATTGATATGGAGGTTAAAAAGAAGAGATTGGAAGATTTCATTTTAACTTCTGCCATGGGTGACTAAGAATGTGTTAATACCATCAATAACAAAAAGGAGATGAGGGAGAAAGGACATTGATTCTCCTAGAGGCACTGGTAACTGTGCAGGCTGTCATCATTTGTCTTGGTGCCATCCTAAATAAATATAAACTGAACCTGACAATCTGGAACTTTCATTACAATTGTTTCAAAACTTAGGGAGCAGAAAATTATGCTCCTTTACCCATCATTTTAATGTTAAAACTAAGCTCCTCCAGCTACTATTTGTACTAAACTAAAGGAAATGGAATGCTGCTGGTCACCTTACAGGCATCCCACAGGATAAATGTCCTTAAAATATCTTGAAGCTCCCCTCCCTTTTGGTGTTTCTTTTTCTTCTGTCATCTATTCCCTTTCCTGCTGTCATTCAAAAATGCTATATCTCTCTGTAAGATCTGTTTACCTTTATGGCAAAAGCATTGTTTCTGTGGTGATTTATAACCAATATCACTTTCTGAACTTAAATCGTATATATGCTACTCAATCATTCCATACCACCCCTACTCAGATCTCTGTGTTTCTAGGTCAGTTGCTCTCCTTTTCATTGTAAGGGCAAAACTGGACAATGGACATGGGAAGCATCAAGAGGATTGTAGCTACTTTTAGCACTGTAGGCCTTGAACCACTGAGTACCATGATGTGGTCCACCCACTCATGAGAGCTAGGATCTCTCCCACACAACAGTTGGGAGCCAATTCTAAAGCTGGCAGTAATCTGTCTTTCTGGAATTCTCCCTTGAGACTTCTTAGGGCTGGGTATAGTCTCAGGAAGCTACCAGTGGTGGGATTGGATGCTCAACCCTCTCTCAATCACTCTCCACAGAAGACACTTTTGAGGAAACAAACAATTCAGCAAGACAAAGAGTACTTTAATTTGCAGTCTGAAGCAGAGAAGTCTATGGGAATTTAATGACCTCAAATCTCTGAATCAGAAATTTTTAAACCTTTGTGGGTTCCAGCTGCCTTTAGAAGTTGAGAAATTATGGAATCTCCAAGGAAAATGCTCTAACATATATAAGTATTCCTACAGTGTTTCAGAGATTCATGAACACTCTGAAACAGGGGTATAGGGATTCCCAGATTAACTATGCCACATAATTTTTTCACCCAGAAAATAGATGATTCTGTATCATAAAATGATATATTTCATTCTATAAGATCTAAGTATGCATAAGAGAAACTAGGTTTGAAATGGTTTGAAATTTGAAATTATAAGAGGAACATTTATTTAAAGTAGTTCTACAAGATACACAAACTTCCCCAGAGACTGAAGCTTTCTAAGAGAACAATCTACATAATTTAAACAAAAGTTCATATACAACTCAAATGGATTAATTTCATTCCTGAAATAAACAGTTTCTAGAGAAATAGTAAATAACAAGAAGCTGTGTAATATTTTATTTCCTGTGGTCACAGCATGCTAGAACAGCAGAAATACTGTGCCTAACGGTTGAATGTGTCCTGCTCCTCTTCCATAAGCATGATAAGAATCACAGCCTCACATTTTAGCAAGACATTTTCTACACATTTTAGCAAGACATTTTCTACAATAGCACACCTTGTTCATTGTTCTGTGGTCATGGAGTGTAGACTTCTCTTCCTTAGCTCACCAGCACTACAGTTTGAGAGTTCAAAATATGTGTATCAGGAAAATTCTTTCCCCCAGGAACTGCCACATGTTATAATGACTTAGAGTTTCTTTTCATTATAACCAAAATTCTATCATATTTCTTTGTTTATAATGTTATTTGTATATATATGATAATACTAATAATAATATTTGCTTAGGATTTTTAGTGAGTCCAGTAAATATTACTCTTCTGATCTGTTTCTGAATCAATTGAAAAATAAAACATAGAGACAACATAGGCCAAACAATCAGCTTTGTCAAGGCACAAAGTAGACACAGACTTCCTACTACAGAAGACCAGTTAGACAGAGAGATATATTCCCCTTAACTGGCAGCACTGGACAACACAGCCTTTTCAAAAAAGGCCCCAGAGAAGGCTACTTCCTCCTAAAAAGGTGAGAGGAAAGGGGTAGAACCTCTGTAATGGCTTTCTCCCTTGACCACTCAGGGAGGCCACGTCATCTCCCCTGTGATGGAGTAAAGGAAAGGCAAAGATCAGGAATGTTATGTTATGACAATTGCCTTCACGTGAAAGGAAACATCAGAAATACTGCAGAAGTTATTCCCAATGCACTCCAACCCTAATGTAATCAGTGGTTTATTCTCTTGCCCCATTAAGTCTAAGATTAATCAGGCCTGTAGCAATCAAGATGATCCTGCTTCCACCCTCTAGTGGCTATTCTCCCAACACAAATGTGAGAAATGCGTTTACTTGTCCAGACTCAAAGAATGGATTTCAGAGGCAGGAAGAACAGCAAAATTTAATGCAGTTTCAGTCTTGCAAGCCTGGCTGTCTGAGGGACAGGCACATGCAAAGCAGTCACATCAAGCTATTTAAACCCTAGCACGAAGGCAGTCTCTTCCCCTCTGTTCCTTATTGGCCGAGTACTAGGGGAGGCACAATCTTTCCCCAGCTGTCACCTAATGTTTCATCACTTCTTTGTAAGGCAGTTCCCCAGTCCACCTCCCAATTTCAGTTTGGATTTCTTCATAATACTGTCTGTTCTTTACTCTGGGACTTTCTGAGGAACAGATGTTCCTGTGTAGTGATTTCATGTGACCTTGCAATTACACTGCTTATGTTCTACTTAGCTTTAGCAAGAAGAACATGCTTTTCTTCTCCCTTTCCCTACTCACACCTACATTCTACAAAGACTCTCTTACTCACTATTTTTATGTTTCCCTCAAGGTCACATCTGCCCAGAGACTCTCTAAATCCATGAACTTTGTCAGGCAGTTAGAAAACTGCCAGTGATTTTCCACTCAGAATTTAACTATTTCATCTTGAAAATGGACTGCTTTTAGTTTATTTTTCTCTTACACGAATCATTGTTCTATTGAGAGGTTCTTGGAACTTCTAGGAAGTTTTAAGATGGCTCCAAAATGGGTCAGAACAGTAAATTAATCAAATCAATTATGACAACACTCTAAACTCACAGATGAAAATTCATTCTTTATTCTTTTCTCCTTAACAAATTATGTTCACCTACAGTGCCAACCTAACTTCTCAGTGGTTCTTCAATGAGATTAAATCACATCATTAAGGTACATTTATAAATGGAGTCTCAAACGTCATGATACATATCAGCCATTTTGTAAATTATTGTTAACTTAAATAAGATATAGACCCTCAGCTCTAAATAGGAAACCCAAGGAGTCACTGATGGTTTTTAATTGTATCTCTATATAGTTGGCTAAATAAAATATCATAATTGTTTTCCAGTTTAACAAAAAAACACCATATATATATATATATATATACACACACACACACACACATATATATATATACACATATATATATATATGACTTCAGAAAACAGATTTCAATTCAAATTTAAATATCACCATGGCTATTTATTAAGATACATAATAAAAGTCACATTAAGTGCTCACGGTTAGAAGATATGGCCAGGGATTTAGCTCAGTGGCACCCAGCCTGCCTCGCAAGCACAAGGTCTTGAGTTCAATCCCTGGTACCAAAAAAAGATAGAGCAACAAATTTTGAAGTTCATTTTTAATATTTACAAGGAAAGATTTTATATTATAGAATATAAAATATGATCAAAATATACAGTGAACATTTACATTTCTAAAAATTAGTACAGTAAGAGATGCATTACCATTATCCCTCTCAAAATATGCCTCCTTGCTTCAAATTCATTATACTTCTTGCCACTTTCTAAAAAAGTTCTGGAAGTCCTCTTTCATGAGTGTTTTTATGAAGTATGATCAAAAATTTGGTAAATGTCATGCTGAGTGCCATCCAGTGGAAAGACAGGCTCATAAAAAGATTATGATATGTCTTCATCTACCTTGTTCACTGGATTTGACACCATGTAACTTCTGGCTCTTCTTCAAACTCAAAATGACCACAAAATGTAAATGCTTTGAATCAATTCAGGACATGAAGATAGCTACAACAAGACAATGAAAGACACTCATAAAAAGAGGACTTCCAGAACTGTTTCAGAAAGTGGCAAGAATAATGGGATAAGAATGTTTAGCAATCTCGCAAACGCAAGGGCCCAGGTTCAATCCGCGGTATCAAAAAAAAAAAGAATGTTCAGCAAAGGAGAGTGTTTGGAGAGAGATTAATGTCAATGTGTCATTTATTGTAATACTTTTTAAAAATTTAAATATTCACTGTATTTTTTCAATCATACCTCATAAATGCTTATCTGAAGTAATAAAATGTTTTATTTTCTTGATGTTATTTTTTCAACACGGAGGAGGTCATATAATTTTTAACTCAGTCATGAAGACAAAATCTGAAAGGACTGAAATTAAATATAAAATACAAAAATAAGATTCTGTCTTAATAAATGGTAATACTTGTATGGAGCATGTAAGTTTTCATACCTGTGCTATAAAGTGCTGTACATATGTATCTCTGTAATATAATTTAAGCAGACATTCATCTGTAATAGTATAGATGTCAAAGAACTAACAAGGTCACCAGGTACCATTCTCTTCCAGAGTGGCCACCAGATCAGACCATCCACCCTGGGCCAGCTCCTCTTCAAACACCATGAGTTCTCTGTTACCCGCCACAGTGATTCAGTGGCAAATGTCATTGCCAGCAGAGCAACACAATGAGGTAAGATGTAATTTCCATTATATTACACCATTTATTTGAACAAATGCTTGACTGGTTAATTCTCAATGGTAGCTCACAGACACTAGATGCTGGGTATCACAGAATATTATTCCTGGCACAATGAACCACAGGTAACCACCTGTCCTCTAGTAGTTCCTAGCGATTGATCAGGTCAAACCTCAGTATCTTCTTGGATAAATCCTAGACTTTTCTGGAGTCTAGTTCACTGACTTATCTTGCCCAAGTCTTAACCTGTCCACTAAGTGCAGGCTTCCAAGCCACATCTTAAACATCACTCCCTTATCTTTCCCTTCCATTTCTAGGTCCCCAAGAGAAGTCCTGAATATAAGAACATACCAAAGTGAAAGTTATCAGAATAGAATATCATCCAGACACTGCCTTGACCTATCAAAATTGACACATAGAAGGAATCTAGACTTTCAAGGTATGATAGGATGAACAGTTTCTAAAATACAGATAGTAAATATTAGAATTTAAAACATGGATAAGAGAGGGGAGTTTGATAAGATTTAGATAAATGTCAAGCAATCAACACCAAAAATGAAAAAAGGAAGGAGAAAAGAAATAGTGAGGATTGGAAGAAGATACAAAAAGAAGAAAAGAAGCAACAGAGAGGGAAAAGTGAGAGTTTATACAGAGGAATAGATGTAGGGAAAAACAAAGAAAAATGATGGAACGAGTTGGAATTTAAGCAGGAATACACTAACTAGATTTGATAAGTATTTGAAAGTGGGAGGGATCTGATACATAAGAAAAGTACAATAGAGATTAAACATGAACATAATTACTTTCTAAAAGTTACAGTAGTAAGATGTGAGCATGATAATTATAAATCCTCCTTCTCTGAAGATGAAAAGAGAAAAGGATTTACACCTAGAGGCAAAGGAATGGATCCAAGTTCTCGGAAAGTCGAGTCCAGAAAGGCTGGATTTGGTCCTGCTCATAGGCTCCCTTTCTAACAGAGATGGTTGGATTTCTTTCTGCCCAGGGTCCATATCCTTCAATCCCAAACCCAGAGGGAAAACTGTGGCCTGTTAAGAAAGCATGCAGGAACTACAACCATGCCGCATCTCCAGCATGCACCGCGTAGGTGGTTAGTGCAGTGGCAACAACTGCTTGTGGGGAAGTATGGGAAAAGGTGGATGACTGGGAAGAGTTAGACGTGATTGTCTTCAGAAATGTGCAAACAACTCTCAGTGAGGCACAATCCTGAGAATTAAAATGTTTATATTTACACTGAAATGACAACATTCATCTAAAATTAGGTATACAAAGATTGAGCATATTTTTCTCTAGAAAAACCTTCAAAGATCTCTCAACTGTACCCATAGTATGATCTTCTATAAACCAGTATCTTGTATAAGCTAATAGCCCTCAAACATTCCATTCCTGAATTTCTCAAACCTCTCTTCAGTTGACAAGGCCCTTATTCACAGCTATATTATTTTTTCACCTTTGAATGCATGCTGGTTATCGGCTAATCCTGCAACATTGAGGGCACTGGAACAGATGCAATACTTCACTGAAGGCCTGATCAAACCAGAGGAAAATGTAACCATCAGCTCTGTAATTTTAATATTGTGATTCTATGTACACATCCTGTGGTGTCCATGTCATTTTCACTCCGACATTACACTACCAGTTTACTAGGCTGTACTGAGTTCCAAAACATTTATCGCCACACATCCACCATGTTTTATAATTGGGTTTCTATGCCCTACTGAGTAATTTAAATTATCTTACACCTCTCTTGTGTTTTTCCTGTCCTTCCCCCTCAAGGGCCCCAGATGGTGGACCTACGGAACAGCAGCACAGTGACAGAGTTCATCCTTGTGGGCTTTGAGCAGAGCTCCCCTGCCACACGAGCACTGCTCTTCACTCTCTTCCTAGCCCTCTACGGCCTTGCCATGGCCATGAATGGCCTCATCATCTTCATCACGTGGACAGACCCCAGGCTTAACAGCCCCATGTACTTTTTCCTTGGCCATCTTTCTTTCCTGGATGTTTGCTTCATCACCACCACCATCCCACAGATGTTGATCCACCTGGTAGTCAAGAACCACACTGTCTCTTTTGTTTCTTGTATGACCCAGATGTACTTGGTCTTCCTTGTGGGTGTGGCTGAGTGCATCCTCTTGGCTTTCATGGCCTATGACCGTTATGCTGCTATCTGTTACCCCCTTAGCTATACCCAGATCATGAGCAGACAGGTCCGCGTAAGGCTAGTGGGTACTGCCTGGATCTTTGGGTTGATCAATGGCATATTTCTTGAGTATATATCATTCCAGAATCCCTTCTGCAGAGACAACCATGTAGAAAACTTCTTCTGTGAGGCTCCCATAGTGATCGTCCTGTCCTGTGGGGACCCTCAGTTTAGCATGAAATTGATCTTTGTTGATGCCACTGTGGTGCTGCTCAGTCCCATGGTCCTCATTGTCGCCTCCTATGCCCGCATCCTGGGCTCCATCCTTGGCAGAACCTCCTCCTCAGGTTGGGGCAAGACCTTCTCAACTTGTGCCTCCCACCTGACTGTGGTTATCTTTTTCTACACTTCAGCCATGTTCTCTTACATGAATCCCCGAAGCACACATGGGCCTGACAAGGACAAGCCTTTCTCCCTTCTCTACTCCATCATCACCCCCATGTGCAACCCCATTATCTACAGTTTTCGCAACAAGGAAATGAACAGGGCTATGGTGAGGGCCTTTAGGAGGACCAACCTGGCCCAGGCAGAGTCTGTCTAGCAGGAAGGCCCCTGGGAAAAAAGCTTCCTCCCCTGGATGGGAGATGTTACAAGTAGCAAGTAAAAAAAAAGTTACAAGTAACTTTCCAATGCTGAAAATCTCCAGAAAAAAACATTCATGGCTTTCTTGGCACAGGAATCAGACTTAGGTGCTTCTCCTCATTTCTAAGGCATATCTTTCTGACTCATTTCCAATACCGCTTTGTCTTAGATGTTCCTCAAGAATTTGAGCCATTCCTGAATTTTTTCCTCCAAGTTTTGCAGCAGCAGTCAATAAAAACCTTGTACTCAATTATATTTTTTGTTTAATACTTTTATATGCCATCCCTAGCCTGAATTTTGCATATACATTTAGGAGTGAATCTATCTCAGTCTCTCTCTTTCTCACTCTTTTTCTTTTTCCTTCTCTCTCTCTCTCTCTCTCTCTCTCTCTCTCTCTCTCTCTCTCTCTCCCTCGTTGGCATTCTGACATCTAGTGTCAATTCCTGCACCTGCCCTCACCCACTCCACTCCTATATGGAAAAAGTATTTGAAAAAATAACAAAAAGGGACTAGGGATATGCACTAGTGTTGGCATCAGAAAAGAAGACAAAGGTCAGCAATTTGAAAGTTATGTTTCAGCCCCCACTAGTCAGTAAGGAAGAATTTTTTGTGTCCCTAAATGCCAAAGCTGCACTCATTGTGTCTGCGTTTATGTGTTGTAGGAGAGGGGTGAGTGGAATAGGTCTCTGTGTTCAACTTCTTCTCCTGAATCTTTTCTTTAGGAAGATGACTGACTGTTTCCCTTCCCATCCAAGTAGTAAGTGCCCCTATAGAGCTTCTAAAGCCACAAGTTTCCTTCCCTATTAATTATGTCCCCTTCCATTCACTGCCTTTCTTTTTCTCTTCCATTTTTCATTCATTCCTACTCAAAACTGTTCTACCTTACCTCCTCATCTTAACAATATCCATTTCACTTTCTGTCCTTTAAGGAACCCTTCTCCACACCCTCTCCACCATTACAGAAGTCTTTTTATTTTCAACACTATATCCTCTCTGGCTTCCTCTAGCTTCTCTCTTTCATCAGCCCGAGCTTGCTTTGAGAGAGCTGTTCATTTTCAGCAGTTCCTTTTCTTTGGAAACTACATTTTTCTCATGCTTGTTTCATAATAAATAAGGAAGAGAGAGAAATGAGCTGTTCTTTGTTTTCCAGTGCTATTATCAGAATATCAACACTGAAGGGGAAAGCCAATGGACATTTTCCCCTGACTTGTGACCCTTACCCATATTTTCTGTGCCCCATAATTATGAAGCCCATTAAATCCATTTACTGTACAAAATATTCCTGATCAAGGGGCGTTCAGTCTCTTAAATAGAAAACCTTGCACAAATACCAGACAGACCAGTGATCACAAACTGAAAGAAGCAATCCTAAGTATAACAGGCCCTTCATTTCCTCATTCCCTTTAACATCTTATAAGCCCTTACTCTGTAAGAGAGAGTTGCTTTTTGCACTTCAGAGCCAATGGTCCCTCTCAGGTCTTTATCTTAAATGAAGCCTGTCTTTGCTGCAAGTTTTTCTTCCTCTCCTTTTATTTCTTATAAACACACTTTGAGATATCCTTAAATAGATGTACTACCCTTTCTATAAGTTGTACATCTCACATTACCCTGTGCAATGACTTAAAGAAGTAGCTTTACTCCACAAAACTCTATAATCTTTTGAGTAAAATTTGGTGAATCTCTAGAAATCAAAGAATGGGAGAAACTATTCTTAGTAAGGTGGAAGAAATGAGACATCACTGCTATGCAGAAGAAACAATAAACACAGAATTTAAAAGTTTCTATTGTCAAAAAAAACTGTACAAAAGTTAAGCAGGAAAGAAAGTCTTTAACTGCGCAAGCTCAAGGACCCAAGTTCGATCCCCTGGTACCAAAAAAAAAAGAAAGAAAGTCTTTAAGACTACTGTAACAGGAGCTGGACTCAACTCCCTTGAAGTAAGAGACTGAGAGATTTTTTGGTACCAGGGATCAAACTCGGGTCTTTGCGCTGGTGGGGCAGGCAAAGCTGAGAGATTTTTAAGAGCTGCCTTGTGTTTGCTAATCAGTCTAACCTAATGGAAAAGTAAATTTCCTTGTTTCTTCAAAACAAGCAATAGTTTTACTATTCGAAACAAGGGGCCTAGCAAAGTTAGATATCTACTCCTATCCTCAGAGACTGAGAGATAGGAAGTTAGGCAAGTAGTTAGGCATTAGTGGGACTGAGGGACAAAGAGGGTGAAGGTTCCAAAGTACTATTCATTGCCAGTTAAAGAAAGATTTCAGGGCTGGGGATTTAACTCAGTGGTTTCGCCGCCTGCTGCTCAAACGCAAGGACCAGAGTTTAATCCCTGGTACCAAAAAAAAAGAGAAAGATTTCAATGTATAATACGCTTATAATTATTTGTTCGGTCTCAGACCCAAAGCGATCCCACAGAACACAGTGACATTTTAAGGTTACACATTGTCCACATTTCTTCTGATACCTGGCTACTTGGCCCTTTAACTCCAGAACAAAGGATACTACTCTGGCCAACATAGCCTACAACCCAATTATATTAGGGAAGGAAATGTTGTTTAAGGACCCTCTTGCCTTGGGCTAGGACCTGGCTTAAATTAAGAGCTTATCTTTTCTAAATTTCTTACATGATCAAAGCCCCTGAGGAAAAAATGACTATCTAAAAAGGACAGGAAGATATTTTGCAATTCCAAAGTAACATTTCAGTAAAATGTTGATAAGTATCATAATTATCCTAGTTCCCCTGACACCTAGAGTAACTCTTGAGTGCATAAACATGTACCCAAATTCACATTCAATGCAGATGCCTTCCTAGGACTGCCTGCCTTCTTGCTTGAAGGAGTAACTCTGTATCTACTTTACAATAAATTCTACCTATATTTCTGCACAGTCCATGTTGTTTGACTGAATTTTTCTTATCAAAGTTACAAAGAAAAGGCGAGCCAATCCCAGCGCCCAGGAGGAGGCTCCCCCGCCATCCCACCACTCCTAGGGCAAAGGAGCTGAGCCAATCTTGGCACCCAGGAAGAGGCTCCCCCACCACCATTCCACCCTCCCAGGGCAGAGGAGGTGAGCCATGCAGGAACCAGCA